TAAATGACTTATCTCAAAACTAATATGGCTTAATTTTACAAAGTTTTTGGTAGTGTGAAAAAATATATTAAACTAATAAATACTTTAAGTTAATTAAATTGTTAAATACTCATTTATTTTAGAAAAAAATATTCACTGTAATTTTATGAAGTATATGTAATTAAACTAAATATTTTAAAATATAAAAGAAAAAAGTTTGTTAATAGAGGAAAAAATAATAAAAATAAACAACACACTTTTTAATTGAAAAAAGACAAGAAAGAGGGCATGGACTACTAACGTGGCTACTCCCTATGGGTTTTTGATCTCCATATAAGGAATATGAGTATTCAATGTAAGGTGATTAAGTCAATAATATAAATAAGTTAAAAGACATTATTATGTAATAATCTTGCCATATCTAAGTTATTGTATTGTAAATATTAATAACAAAATTATTATATTTTATTATATTTTACTCACTAGTTATATATTATGTGATTTATGTCATAATTAATGATAAACGTTCATAGGGCTCTCAAGAAATAAACTTGTTTTTTTATATAAATTACAAGAATAATGAACTAAATTCCTAAGCACTTTTAAAGACCCTTAATTTAGGATTTATACTTAAGATATTTTTCATATTGTTTCAGTTAATAAGCATTATGCTTATTCAAAATTATATAACTGATTTAATTAATCAAATATACATATACAGTTGATACAAAAACAAGTGTTTAAGTATTATTGAAAACAAAAAACTGAATCACATAGGCTTTCAATATGAAAATTATTTTCTTGTTAATTATATGGTATTTATCATATATAGTGGTATAGACTACTCCTTAAACTTGAGGTATCATTATTTCTTTGTCGTATTTTGAAGAATCACTTTATCATACTTTGCTATTATTAATATATGGACTTTTTACACTATACAAAAGTAGTTATTGATTGTGTTCTAAAGCTCACAAATAAATGTAAGTATTAATAAAGAATTTATCACTACTAACTGAGAAAGTACATGATCTATTTGATTTAATTGGAATAATGAGATTAAGATAACTAGTCATGTTCTATAGTAATAAATACCATGAGTTTTGGTATATCACCAATACATTATTTATATTCCAGGCATCATATGATGGAATAAATTACTATACAAGAACTATTTCACATAAAGATTTGTGATATTTTAAGAAGGTCAATGATTATCATTAACTCATCATAAGTATATCGTTAACAATATAGATAGATTTTATATATGTAAAAAAGTTATATTTCAATATTAACACATAATAACGAGTTCAAACAATCAGACACATATAACTATTAATATTCATTAATATCTTTAAGGCATAATAATCTTCTGTGAATTAATTTAATAGAGATTAAACTAATCATGAATTTTAAAAAATAATCATGAGATAGTTCATTGAAAATATTAGAGATGGTTTTATTTAGTATGATTATTTATGAATAACAAAAACTATTGATGTTATTGTTTAAGAAACAAATCATAATGGCAATATATTAAAGGAAGACATGAATTTTAATTAGGAGTAAGTAATTTTCCTTAAGAAAATTATAAGGTTCAACAGTTGGATGATTATTTGTTTTTCTTGCCTTTGCTTCCTCTCTTATCATAAAATTTGCTATTGTCTTTCCTTTTTCCTATTCTACCCTAACCACCAACCTCCTCGATAAAAAGCCTCCACAACAAAGCTATAGAGATAAGTTTTTCAATTTTTTTTTCTTTTTTCAAATAAAAGAAAAAAAGTTATTATATCTTTATTTGACTCATGACATACTCTATTTCTCTTTAAGTCGCGTCTATTAAATTAAAATGATTATAAGATGATTAGTTGACTTTTTATCTTAGAATTGAAAGACATGTCATATTACAATAAAACAAGAGAGAAAATGTACTTCAGAGAAAATCAAATAAGACTCTAAATAAATTTATATGTTTATTTACGTTTATATACAACTCAAATCACTTGTTATTATTATTTTTTTTTTTTTGAAAATTTTAAATTTTGATAGATGATTATGATATTCCAAAGTTACAACTATTATTTATTTTCTTAACCTTTACTTTCAAATACTTACCTTTTGAGATTTTAAAAAAGAATTATTTTTTAGAGAGTACAATATGATGAAAGTTATAAGTTGTGTTTTGAGAAGAAAGATGGGAGGGGAAAGGGAGTTATTGTCTATCGTTGGCCTTTATGGTAGAATCAATCAGGAACCTGATAGGTAGTGGCTTATCTTGTGACGAATGTTAGTGATTCAAATTCGTTTATCTATAGCTTGTGAACTTAGTTGATACAAAGGTATATGATGGTACTAAATTTTTCTGATTCAGCAATTCAATTTATAATTTTTTTATTCATGGATGTTGATAAGATAGTATCTTTCCATTTAACAACATCTTAGAATGATAGAACTATAAAGTTAAGGGCGAGATTCAAACGAGAAAAGACTTACAATGAATACCTAGGTACCCAGAGACAACGAATGACATAATAAACGACTAAATACTTGAGGAGTTGAAAATAAATTCATATTCAAATATTTCTAAATAAGTCAGTCTTTTGAATTGTTTTATTAAACGTACATTTATATTAGTGATGAAATTTAAAGTGGACAAACATATTCTACATAATTAAATTAATTTATAAAATATATAAATTAATGATTAATTTTTATTTAGTAAATAACACACTTAATTAAAAAAATAATAAATAATCATATAAAAATAAAAAGTAGTCAAATTTTTATAACATAATATATTTTAGAAGATCAGTATAGGTTTTAATTATTTTTTATGATGAAATAAAAAAAGATTAACTATTTATAACGTCAAATAATACAATTCTAGACATCTTCATATAGATTTTAAAATTGTGAAAGAAGCTTGAATGAAGGGTAATTATGATTAGGATTTCAATGGAGATGTGATTAAAGGTTTAGGTTTTGAATTAAGAAGCTTAGGGTTTGGATGAAAGAAGTAAAGGGCATGATGGAAATTTAGAGAACCAAAGAAGAAAAAGGAAATGACAGTTTATATATATGTATGTATGTATGTATGTATATACATATAGAAAAGAACCTACAAAGGCTTGTCAAACCATTGTCTTCTGTTATTGTGGACAAAAGAAATTTTAGAATTTCATTAAACACGAATAATCCGGAAAAATTAAAAATTAAAAAAGGGTTATTTTAGAGTTTTAGATTTATTTGTTCCCCAAGCCGTGACAAATGAACTACACGTGTTCACACACGCCCCCCCATTCTTCACCAGAAAATTTACTCTCCACAATCCCATCTCTTCACCGTTTCCTCTTCATAAATTCAACACAGCCTCTTTCATGGATTCTTTCTCCTGATTCTCTTTCTTCTATTTTCGCCTCTTAACTACTTGATTTCAACAACGCCATCTATGAATCTCCATTCTTTTCGCGCAAGTAGTTAGGGTTTCTTCCAATCGGACCCTCGCTAACTCTATCTTGCTCTCATGTTGAACGCTCCCTGCTCTCGTTCTCTTCTTCATCGCCCTGTTCTTGTACCTTCTCCTTCTAAATTCAGGGTTTCCAACCGGCCCCCATCCCTATCTCCACTGACTCGCTCCTCTCCGATATTTGCTGCTAATTCAAGATTCTCAAGAAAGGTGAGTAATCCCTCTCGAGTATCAGCTCTTTTTCCCAATTGCGCCGCGCCCTTAATAGTTTTATTTTCTAACATACTTTTTGTTTGGTTGCTCAGGAAATCTAGAAAATGAAATGAATTATGTTTTTGAAAAATCTTTTATTCCCTCAGACATGTATCCGTCCTGGTTTTTAATATTATTATTTTCTTTCTTTTTCCTTTCATTTCTCGGAGATGAAAAAAGGCATATCGACTAGCGCTTAACCGGAATTATTTGTTGGTTGGATACTGAAAATTACAATTTCGTCTATGTCTTTTCGTTCTTGTTAAATAATGTCCTATTTGATTATCGTGCTGGTTTCCTGTAGCCCATGTATTTTATTGCTGAAACATCCTCTGCTTATATTTTTTAGAAATGGAAAATTTCATGCTTCAGGCATGAGGATTTTTCTTCGCAAACTCCCAACCCTGAATATATTGAGCATTCTGTACCCGAGGAGTTGGTGAAGCCAGAGAACAAGAACTCAACCACTGTCAAAAGAGATTGGACGTCAGCTATTCGAAAGGTAGTATTTCTTGATTATTCTTTTGCTGCCTGATCTATGTGAAAGAACTGATCTTAAATGTTTTCTTGAAGAAAAATATTCATCTTTTCGCATTTCTATTGCTGCACATCATCTGTCAAGATGCTAGTAGGTAACTTATACGTTCTTGGTTGGTGGACTTTATTTATTATGATCTATTCGTGAGTACAGTAGTTGGTGTTTGCAGTGGAAGTGGTCTGATATAAGACAAGGTGGTTATCGAGTGATGTTAGAGAAGTAAACTGATATCAATTTGATGATGTTTGTGATGTAGTTTAGAGTTTAATAGATTTTCATTATGATTGTGCTGCCATAATATCTAGTTTATTGCTCCAGAACTCATTATGTGCCCCACTACCTTTATCCTTCTGAGTGATTGAATAGAATACTGTGTTTCCATGAGATTTCTTGAATCAGAAATGTACTATTGTTGTGTACAAGGAAACAGTTTTAACCAGCATCAGAAATGTTTGTTTAAATTGGTAAAGTATTACTAATTTTCTCCGCTCATGGGTAAACATGGTTTCAGATGTCGAAATCTGTGTATATCTCAGGAGGCTCATGAGCTACTTTATTACATTTCAGGCTGTAGATGAAGTGATCAGAGCAATTGGTTGTCAGTGGAGTGTACCTTGGACAGCGGAGACAATCTTTCAGGTGACTCTCCCACTTTCTTATTTTTTTTATGAGGTTTGAGAGAAATGGCAGACTGGTAGTTGACTCTTGGCAGCTGTTTGGTTTTAAGAATGAGGCTTCAATTGTAGAAATCATGTTGTAAACTTCTCAAGGATTACTATTTGATGGTCCTGAAATGCCTTCAGCAACAAAAGTGGTGGCAAATTTACAGTTGAAGTACCACACTTCAGTTTCTTGTACTTAAGATTAAAGTTTAACTTGTGCAATCCTAAACATGGACAACCGTGAAGAAAATGTTTACTTTTAGGATATACTTCTCTTATGTTGAATAATGTTATTGATTTAGCCCTTCCAAAAATAATGATAACTGCTGATTTCGACTACCCAACAAGGATGTCATTATTAACCTCCCCCTGCTATAGTTTTTCCTTTTTTTTTTTTCTTTTTTTTTTTCTTTTTTTTTTTTCTTTTTTTTCTCTTGTTGTATATGCTCTTTTTAGAATTAAAATTAGAAATACCAATAACATGGACATGGTAATGTAGGTTATGCTTCTCTGGGTTGCTGCCTTCTGGTTCATAGGATCCTGGATGATACCTTTTGCAGCCCACTTGTTGGGATTTTGCAAGGAATCTTTGACATTCAGAGGTCAAGCTTTATTCAGCCTTGTGACTGATGTTACAGAAGGGGTTGCTGGAATCGTAATTCTCCATCGCTGTCTGTCACGGTTTCATCCTCTTCCAGCTGATTGGTTTAGGTTTAGCCTTAAAGGAAATTGGCTGTTGGATGTTGTGCTGGGATGCCTAATGTTTCCACTGGTTAACCGACTCTCCCAGTTCAATCTTAATCTATTGCCTCTAATGCCATCTGGACCTGTCACCCTTTCAAGTGTTGAACAGTCAATTATGGCACGAGATCCAGTGGCAATGGGACTATATGCTATTGTAGTTTCAGTTTGTGCCCCAGTCTGGGAGGAGATAGTGTTTCGGGGTTTCCTTCTCCCTTCATTGACAAAGTACATGCCTGTATGGTGTGCAATACTGGTGAGTTCAGTTGCCTTTGCTCTGGCACATTTCAATGTACAAAGAATGCTTCCGCTTATTTTTCTTGGGGCGGTGATGGGTGTTGTTTTTGCACGAACTCGGAATCTACTGCCACCCATGCTCTTGCATAGCCTGTGGAATGGTTTTGTATTCTTAGATTTAATGAGATAGCTTCTATGTATTTTAGGTATTGTTCAATGACCGGTGGGGTTGGTAAATCCAATTTTTTTACGAGGGCTATAACTGCAAGCATCCTGCATAAATATTCCCTCAGTCTAGCTTCATGTGGCTGAATCAGCAACTTACTCTTCAAAATGTGTAAAAATGGTTTGAGTTCATTGCATGTTGAACCTCTAGTTTATTGATTCTATGTATTGTAATGTTAAAAGGCTGCATCCCGTCTTTTGCTAATGTCAAATTCAATGTGGAAAGAGGGAAAACTAGGTCATGTTTTTAGCTAAGCAAGTTTGATCTCTACCCCTTCAAAGTTCCAGCCCAGCTCCAACCCTCAATACTTTGTCTTCCTTGGTGTGCTAAGAAGGTTTTTAGGCTTTATTCCAACAAGTCAAAAATGACGGCTAAAGGCTTCCGTATCCCCGAAAAAATGTTGGATGTTCAGTGTATATTCGTTTCTGAAAGGAGGCAACTTAAAATAAGTTGTTAAAAAGATTTGTCATGTCATGTCAGAAGTGGGATTTGAACCCACGCCCTCTCACGAGGACCAGAACTTGAGTCTGGCGCCTTAGACCACTCGGCCATCCTGACTTCAGTTGCTGTCCTCAAATGAGGATGACACATAACGTGTCAGAAATTCACAGGCGCAGTTTGTGTTTCTGAAACTTTGGATTGGAATTCAATAAATTGCCCTTTTGGCTCGAGGAAACCATCGAAACTAAGCAACTAAGTAGTAATATTTAATACATACACCACTGAAATTTAGAGTAGAATAGAATTCAGCACCTCAAGGCTTTCGCATAAATAGTGAATAATAATTAATACAATAAGATTCGGCTTGGAAAATGAGCAACGAGTCCACTTAATAATATCACATCACAACAAAAACTGAGTATATATGTTTACATGCAGTAGGAGATTCTCTCGCGGACTTCATTATTATTTTCCCCCATTTATATTTTATATGTGGTTGCTACACCGATGCCTTCATTTCACCCATGTAAATTATTAACCTGTTGCATTCCAATTTATCTTGTATAGTTAAAGCAATTTACTCTTTGTATAATCATTCTGTTATCGTGTATACATATATTTTTTTTATATAGTGTAATATATGTTAATTTTGTTTTATATATTAGTTAAAATTTGGATGTTTATCTTAAAGTAAAATTCAGATAATCTTAATGCCAAAATTCATTGGTATTTCTCTATTAAACCTATAATATTTGACTTTTGAATCAAACTGTAGCTATAGTAAAAAATATTTTTTAATAATAAATAATGTTTGTCCCTAAATTTAGATTTACTGTTGGTATAAGTGATTTTTAGTTAGTATAATCACTTTTTTAAATATACTACTATAATTCATCCTATACAAGCAATTTCGTTTTGTGTAGGTTCCTCTATAAGTAACAATTTATTTTTAATTAGTAAAATCTTAGTTATATAAACTCAACTTGAAAACAACTTCATCTCTCACACAACTCTTTTTCCATCAACAGTCCACCTTCACCTCCTCAATCTTTCATAGCCATATGGTCTACCTACTCTACTACCAACTCATTTGAGCTAAGCAAAAGGCTTCTTCCTTCAACACTAGAGAATAGAGTAGTAGCTTAGGACTTCCTCCATTCTGCAAATTCAATCTCTTTGCTGAATCATTGCTCTTCCTCCAACTATTGGCTTTTTCTCTTGCATTTAGGGTTTACAAAATTGAACAATTTAGATGTATGTCTCTTTGCTACAATTTGATTTATTTAAAGGAAATGAAATTTCTCTTTGTAGTAATATGAAGAAACTTAGAGATTCTATGTAAGTTCCATATTTTCTGGTGTATGTCTACTATCAATTATTCTTTTTATTAAATTATTTGTCTTTTTTTGTAAGTCATTTTTCTCTTTTTCTCTCTCTATACACGTTGTCTTTCTTCTTTACATGCAGTTGTATTTATATATATGTCTAGGTATATGCTTGTGTGGTGTTGGTCTTCTTGTGGATGTTTGATTTTGTGTTTTGCTCTATTCGGTTATGAGATTCGGTGTAGTTAGGATTTGTAAAATAAGTGATCAATTGTTTCTTCTCTTTTAAGATTTTTAGAGAATTTAGTGATTCTAACTTCATCACATGGGAACTAGGATGGGCATCTCTTTATGGCTCGTGAATGTCTCTTTTCCTACTTTTTTTTCATGCGAGATTTTTCTTCAAATCTCTCATAGCCTCTAGTCCAATCTCCCTACTCGTGGCTGCTTCAATCTAGAATGCTTTGCTCGAGTTCACTCACTCTATTTGACTCTTCATTTCACTTTTACCCCTTCAACGTTGCGACCTCTAAACATGTTCAGGTACAGATTATTATTCTCTATTCCTATTTTCTTCCTAACTTTTCAAGATCTAACTTTTAAAAATATAAATAAATTTTTCAAAGACACGTTTTGTTCATTATGTGTCTTGAAAAGTTCTATAAGTGGTTACTTAAGGTCCCAAATATCAAAAGGTATGACCAGTTTTATTAGGTTCCCTTCATCATTTTTCTACTTCGTAATCTTCCTTACAACATGAATTTTCTCTTAAGAGTGAATTTCTTTATTCAAATTTTAATAGAAAATTATCCTTTTGGAAAGATGTTATGTGATAGGATTATGGGTCAATTCAAGAATGGAGTGTCCTCTTAATTGGGTTAAATAATTTCTTTGTTGAATATTTATGTTTTTACATTAAATTCTTCCAAGGGATAGAGAAGATATGCTGAAATTCTTAATGGAATGAACAAAAAAAAAAGATTTTAGGGACATTTAGAGGTATGTCTCTTTGAGCCAATGTATTTAGTGCCTGAGCAGCTCGTTCTCTTCCGGTAGGCCTTGTTCAACAATCTTTTCACAAAATCTATAGCATCACTAGATAATATATATATAAATATATTTAGGGTTTACAAAATTAAACAATTTAGAGATATGTCTCTTTGAGGATAAATAGAAAACTAAATAAAGGAATAAGCATAAGCAAACAAGAAGAATTGTGAATAAATTTACTATTTTGGAATGATAGTAGGTCTTAAACTAATATATATATATATATATATATATATATTCTAGTGATGCTATAAATTTTGTGAAAAGATTGTTGAACAAGCTAACCGGAAGAGAAAGCATTGTTCAAGCACTAAATAAGTTAATAGTTATTTCCTAATTTTTTAGGGACATTTAGAGGTATGTCTCTTTGAGCCAATGTATTTAGTGCCTGAGCAGCTCATTCTCTTCCGGTAGGCCTTGTTCAACAACCTTTTCACAAAATCTATAGCATCACTAGATAATATATATATATAAATATATTTAGGGTTTACAAAATTAAACAATTTAGAGGTATGTCTCTTTGAGGATAAATAGAAAACTAAATAAAGGAATAAGCATAAGCAAACAAGAAGAATTGTGAATAAAGTTACTATTTTGGAATGATAGTAGGTCTTAAACTAATATATATATATATATATATATATTCTAGTGATGCTATAAATTTTGTGAAAAGATTGTTGAACAAGCTTACCGGAAGAGAAAGCATTGTTCAAGCACTAAATAAGTTAATAGTTATTTCCTAATTATGTTGTTTAGTTTTTTGTGATCATATTGGCCATTTATCTGTAGAAGGAGAACCTAAAGCCATTTCTACGTAACATATGTAAAGTAATATTGCAATTTCTTGTTGTATACTTGAAATTGAAGAATTAAATATCTTGATATAATTTGTTAAGAGAGAATTATATTTCACACGTAGAATTTTGATTGAAAAACAAGGTAATTTATGCTCGTTAATTGAATGTATATAGTTTATTGTATTATGTGATCATTTCTTTCAACTTTTACACTTGTTACTACTAATTTGAGTCTTGTAGCTTGTGTACTTGGCACTAGAAGAGTTAGTTGGCGCATTACTTGGTTTTTCTTAGTACTATTTCTTTCTTAGTTACATAATTATTTTATTTTATCTAGTTGTATTCTTGGTATTTTTTTAGTATTACTATGCTTATATCTTTTGATGTTTGGTTTTCATCTTAGGAACAAAAACATGAACTTCATAACTCATTTGCTTATGGCACGTCGATCCTAGTTTGCACATATCATATGTAATTTAGAATTTGAGAATAACCTCATAGGTAGATATTTACTGGATTTTTCTTTCAATTATCTTAATTGTTAATGTTGTATTTATTTGTCAATACAACATCTTCTCTTGATGATGAGGGTACAGTTTTAGGTATGTTAAAATTTGATATAATAATTTATATTATACTTGTTAGATTATTTAAGTTGACCAACTGTATTGATTTGTATAAGAAAAAGTTGTATTCAATTGGTAAAATGATGAAGAGTGTGACTACCAAGAAATTACCCACAAAATACCCATAGATAATTACCTAAGAAAGAAAGAAATGGTTGTTATCGGACAAGATAGGCGATTATGGTCACGAAGCAATTCAAGCTAATAACATGATTTTATTTTCTTTTTTTTTTTCTTTTTGCTTCCATTAGATTACTCGTCATTTAAATTTGTCAAACATGATATTGAACTAGTTGTGAATTATTTTTTTAAAAAATTATTTTTTTTGTGTACATAATATATGATAAACAAAAGAATATTATAGTAAAATAGAAACTTCAAACAGTGTGTCAGGTCTATCCTCTAAAGATAATGCATAATGATAAGAGGGGATGTATGCCTTGCATGAGGTCTAATTTTAGATTACAAATTAACACTTTTTGTATAAATTACAAGATATATATAGTTTTTATTAAAAAAAAATATATTTAATATTTTAAGATATGAAGTTACTTAAAGAATGTGATGAATAAATATAAAATTTATAAAATTTTTATATTTTAGTTATAATATATTTATAGTATTTTTTTAATGTTGAAAGTATTATGTTTGTAATTTAATTAATATGTATATTCTATAATATATAAAATTTAGGTAATTTAATTAATAAGATAAATATATAGAATATATAAATTTTAGGCGATGAGAGAATTGCATATTAGATTTTCTAATGTTCAAACTATTGAGATATATATATATATATATATATATATGTATATATATATATAAACAAAATTCCATTGCTACACATAGTTATACAAATGGAATTTTGTTTATATAGACTGAAACCTTTAGTAACAAAAATCTTTTGTTTGTATAAGTTCATTTTGCTATTCATGAAAGAGAATTT